CTGTTGGCAATGGAATAGCTTTAGGAACATAACTAAATAAAAAAAAAAAACATTTTTGATAAATATTTTTTGTGTTTTTTTTTTACCGATTATAAACTCCCATTGGAACCATAGGCATTTGTTGAGCAGCTTGCCATGCAGCTATTTGTTGTTCTTGTTGAAGAAGTAATTGTTGTTCTTGTTCTTGATTTGGATGTTCTTGTTGTAATCCAACACTATCACTAGCATCAGGTAATTGTGATTCGATCTGTCTTTTAGGTGATCGTGATCGATATTTTCGTCGATCTTTACTTCCATTATCACTTGCTGTTTTATTTGATGAATGTCCTGTTTTATTTTTTTTTGGACTTTTATGACGTCGATTACGACTATTTTCTCGACTACTATGAAAACTACCCTTGAATGGTGCATAACTAAGTTGTGGTAATGATATTGGAATAGATGATGGTGTAGACTCTCCATTTAGACCTATATCATTATCACGTACATATAAAATTCGTCTTGGTGATTGTTGTCGATTAGTTTTAACATTAAGATAAATTTCATTAAATTGTTTTTGAGATGTTGGAGAAAATAATCGATTATTATCTGTTATATATTTATCAACAATAATTTGATTTTCAATACTTTTTGAATATGATGATTGTTTAGCAAGACGAAAATCATCACGTAATAAATGTGCATCTGTTGGATGTACAACATATAAAAGAACACCTTTCATATTTGATTTAACTTCTTCATAAACAATACAAACAACATTATTTATATTTGGTTGCATAAATATATCATGAGCAAGTCCTATTGGAATAAAAACAGGTATACGTGTTCGTGCTATTTGAGGATCTTGTGCACTTATTTGAATTCCAACATTATTAATACGAATCCAAACAGCCGTTGCTAACAAAAAATAATTATTAATTCATATATAAAAAAAAAAAAGTTCATGCAGAAAATTTTTACATACTATAAGGTTTTCCAGTTATAGCATGATTAATAATAGTACGAATTGTATCTGGTGTATAAGAACTAACTAATGTTGAATTAAGTGGAAAACCAGTAAAACGTCGACTTGTATCACCATCATTCGAGTTATTGTATGTTATTAATTGATTCATATTTGATTTATTTATTTTTTTGCGGACAAATTATAACCTGAAATATGTCTCAATAAATTCTTCAACAACGAAAAAAACCCTCACAACGAAAAACATTATAATGATTGATACTTTTCATTCTATGATGTGTTCATTAACACCTATGTTTAATCATAGACTTCTTCGACAGAGCTCACTCTATTGGCCCCAGATTTGACAGAGTTCGAGTTGCATCCAGGTTCAAGGTGTTCTAGTCATCTGAGAAATGCCTAGAATGCGTTACTCATCGAATACAAAACATCGGCAAAAACTATCTCGTATCTTCGGGGCAACTATCCAATGCCGATTAGAAAACTTCATTGAAGTTATCAAAGGACGGCTCGACTAGATCCGACGATCTCTATGCTACATTCATTCTAAATTTTAACTATTTGAAGGGTTAAAAAAAAAGTACATAAGAGGTATATCGCCATTTTATACTATTTTATTTTATTTCAATAGTCACGCTCGATTTGTGCTCTTTTTTTTTTCCTTCATTTTAATAGTAATAACCACATACAAAGAAAGAGAATCATTAAATAGTACGAGTGACTTGAGGTTTTGCAACATACTCCACTCAAATTGCTTTTTTTTCATATGTCGAATCTGTCATAAATTGATCGTAGATTCATACGTCATAATGAAAGTAGATAGGCGTAGATGGTAATAAATTATGACAAATGTAAAAGACAGAGACAGAAGAAGCAACAAATGTGTATATGCTTCTTATATATATGTTGCGTTTTTATAATACATTTTTACACCTTCTAATGAAAATTTATGTCATGTAAAAGTTGTCTTGATAGAGTCCAATGATGAATGATTGATTTTTATCACTGATGCCTAAAGTATGTTTCAAAAGAAAAAGATTGTGATAAAAAAAAAATGTGATGACTGTATTTGTTTTCAATATATTATTGATAATAGAAAATAAATATTTTAATGGAATATATTATGTGTTTAGAAAGAACAAATCTGATAATATTTGATGTACTATCAAAATGTAATTGAAAATATTTTCTATAATTGATAAAAATCTATTGGTCATTATCATAAGAATTAGAACTTTTTTTCAAGAAAAATATTAGAGTTAATTGAAACTATTTCAGGTCAATTATTCGAATCGGAAAGAAGCCACTTCCGATCGGAAACTGTAGGAAAATGGCACGAAATTGGAAGTAAGCATCCGATAATCATGTTGTTCTAGTTCCAGCCCACATCGGTTCATATTTCTTGAATTAGATAATCAGTTATTATTATGATGGTGAGCTATGAAACCTAATCAACTGATTATAAAAATATCTTATTTAGCGAAAAGTTGAATATACATTCACAGTTTATATTTACTTTTTCTAGATATTCAGATACTTTAAAACAGACGATGTTTTTTGTTATTTTTGCGATATACCCAGTTCAAACAATTCTATTATAAGATCTTGTAGGATGCTTTCAAGATCATTTCGGAACTTACTGTATGATCTTGTACGATTTTATATGTTAATTTTACAGTCACCATTTCTTATAAAATAATACCGTACGATTCATTTGTAATCTTAATGTCAGATCTTATACGTTTCAATTATAATTTTCCAGAATTTTCCACAACATTGTATACTTAATTTTCTTCCATTTTCTGTTTCTATCATCCTCATTTCTCAAGAAAGTTTTTTGTCTTTACTCGCACACTTATATTTATAAAAATTTACAAAAACTAAATAAAACTCCAAATATACACTTAAAAGACATTAAAAAAACTTTTTTTTTTTTTCTATTGAATTTGATCATTAGAATGAACTGAAATAGTAAAATAAACATTTTAAACAAAAAGAAAACCAACTTAATTGTTTAAATTATCTGTAGAGTAATTTTTTAGCAGAGCAATATCACTACATAAAAGATGTGTTTTTAATTCTTAAAAAGTAACATCTAAATTAGAACGCATTTAATCGCACCCTCACTGTAGAATATTTGTACGATTTTCCAAGATCATACAGTATTCATATCGCACATTTGTTCGTACTACCACCGATAGCACTTATGACTTTCGATTCCAATTGTAAACAATTGCAGAATGTTTTCTGTCAAAATTTAAATTATTTATTAGAAAAAAAAAAATTTACCTAATAACTGGAACCAATTTCGGCTCTGTCGCTAGTACTAGGTAGCTCAAACGCATTGACATAATTCAAAAATGTTTATCCATTGTGATACAATATACTATGACACAACACTTTCAAAAAAACCGGCAGTAGTTTCTTAGTAGTTATCAAATGAATATGAATCTTATGACATTCGATTGTTAATAAAAAAAATCTTATACAATCTTCGTAAGATTTTTTCATCTGGGTAGGGACATGGAATGCTTGGTGAAAGTGTTGCTGTTTTTTAAATATTTATTGACACGCGGAGAAGGTTGATATGGGAGGTTATATGAAACATGGATGCATCCCCTGTATGCGTGTCTTATAACTATGATATTAGAGAATAATGAAAGGTTGTAAGCACTAATGAAATTGAAAGTTAGATTTGCTGTCTAAGTACTATAATTAATAGTACATGATGTATAATTATTTTTAGTAAAATTTGGATCGGATTTTTTGGTTAATATAGTAAAAGAAAAAAATCCACGGAAAATCGTTGTTTAAATCAATTGATATTGTTAATAAAACTTTATTCATATGATAAATTTTTTTTAAGAGAATTTTTTTTGAAATTATTTCACACATTTCAAATTCAACCGAATCCTCATGTCAACTGTGACATACATAAAGTAAATTTTTGCTATGCTTATTTTGTATTTCGACCATGAAGTTCATAATTTAGATTCTACAATAACAACAATTATGACCATTAATAATTTTCAAACTATAACCAATTCTGATATTTTAAATCTTTTTCTATACATAAAATTCTATTCCTTATAAACAGTTAAATAAACATAACTAAATTATTTTTATATTACAGTGATTTTCAGTAATTAATGGCGAGTTATTTTCTATAATTGCTTCGTAAATATGAAGCTCGTTATGATATATAACAAGGTACATATTGTCATTGAAATTCTATATCTACACAATTCAAATATAGTGCTACCATGCTGTTATTTTTATTTTTTTCTTCTGTTGTCTTAAGGTATGCAAGTAAAAATAGAATTTCTCTCTTTCATAATAGTGAAAATAACTCGTTGTAATTCAATGACTGAATGAATGAGACAGTGGTTTTTTTTATTCTAAATCATAAAATAATTCTGTCAATAATTTAATTTCTGAAGGTTAAAATACCCGAAAATAATCATAACAATCTTGAATAATGTTATATTTATTTTGCTTATTCTTATACAATGAAATAAGTTTTTTTTTTCAACTTAGTAATATAAAAGAAAATTATTCGTTTTATTAATATTATTTAAATAGTACTTATTCGAATAGAAACCTGCTGAGAAAATAATTCACTAGTCAATGAATAAATCTTGTGAATCGAAAATTTTGAAAATTGTATGACGAAGTTTTTCATAGGTGTTAAAAACATCTTTCTAGAATATTCAATGTTTGTTTTAATTATTTAACAATGTCACGCAAAGATTTAAATTAAGTAAATAAGGCATAATTATATTAATAATGAAATCATTCAATGTAAATCTTAGACTTTCGGCATGCAATTAATTCATTGAACGAGGCATCATGTGTCTCAGATAAAGTCAGGCTAGTTTTACAATTATGTCGCTAAAAGGTATAAAGATTAAGAAAAAATATGATTTAATAATTTGACATTTTTATGAAGATTTTTTTAATATAATACAAACATCTATCATAATCATACAGACTTTCTCTAGATATATTAATTTCTGTTTATTTAAATTTTTTTCTATACAATCGATATTAGAAAACTGCTTCTGTTCGTATCTAACTTATATGAATACGTTGTTTTAAATATGAGTAGTTACAACTAGGCATTCATCAAAATTCCAATGCAGACAAAAGAGTTTTAAGTTTGAAATTAAATTGATATATCTGCAAAAGGCTTGTATGGTTATAGGGTGTATTTGTACTATCTTAATGCGAATAGAAAATGATTAAATATATTGTTGTAAGATTAACAAAACAAGGATTAAGTTAGATTTGTTTAAACCCTAACACAGAAGTGTAAACTGTTTTTTTCCTTAACACTAATGTGAAATTAAAATCTCTGAAACAAAAATAAAAATAACCAAAATATTTCATTAAAACTCTAAATACTTCAATTCTGTAGTTTATTTTTCTCTTCTTGAAAAGCCATTTGTCATGATATAAAAAAAATAAAACAAAAGAAAAAAAAAAGGAAAAGAGAGAGTTTCTACAATTATAAAGAATTTTCATCTGATCTAAATGATGGATTTTGTTCACCATGAATATGAACATCATAATCATTTTTTATTGTTGCTGATATTGTGGGTAAATTAATAGGTTGTTGTGGATTAACTAATGATGCAGATGTTGTTGCAAGTGATACTATTGAATTATTATTATTATTATTAGTATTATTATTATTATTTACATTTGATTGACGACGACGATTTATTGTTGATGGTAATGATATACGATATGCAGCAAGTATATCAAGATTACATAATGGACAATGACGATGATTAAGTAACCAAGGATCAACACAATGATGATGAAATGTATGACCACAAACTAGAAAAAATTGAATATAGTTTTGTTTTGTTTTGTTTTATTTTTAATATTTACCTAATTGTCGTATTGTATCACCAGTTTTAATTATATCTAAACATATAACACATGATTCTTCTGTTTGAGGATTTTCACTAACATTAATTAATGGAATTTTTGTTAAAGCTTTTTTAGCTGCATTTGATAAACGATTTTGCAAACGATCTTTAGCTGTACGTGCACGATGTCGTTGATAATAATAAAATATAAGCCATGATATACATAATGATATAAGTATACATATTGATATAGCTATAAATATTGTTGCAGATT